GGATTGATGAAATCTTTGTTGTGTGCGGGTGCTCAGTGGATTATTACATCGCCTGATTGTTAGAGGTGACAGCGGCGTGGGCAGGCCTTCATCCATTAGTGGAATGACCATGGTTGATCAATATTGACGATGATAGTATGATCACAGTGCATTAACCTTGTTAGTAAATGAGTTATAATCATGGCAGGCCGCCACGCTTTGTGTAGAGAGAGGATAGAACGCGTTCACTCCGTGCCGTGCAAAAAAGTACGCAGCTGCTGCGGGACCTCAAGCATCCCTTTGTTATGTGGGGCACGCAGAGTGGGATTTTTTTGCTGTGTGTATGTTGGCACAGGGAGAGCCACTGCTATCACAGGAATGTTTAAAAGTGTACCTAACCTTGGGGCAGCAATTTTCAATATCTTCTCAAACAGCCACGTCTACGTGGGCCACAGCGAACTTCACCACCAACGGGGTGTCGGGGCATTTTCCGGTGTTTGCGTTTGCCAGCAGTCATGGCATTTTGAGCCATTGCATTTTCCCAAGTGAAAAACGGTTCTCGGAACTTTTTTCATTACATCGGTTCACTTGTTGACCTGCCATCATTGTCAACATCAGCCATGGGCAATCCGATGCAGGATTACGGTCTCCCCAAGTCGCAGCCATCTCTTAGGGTCCTGCGTTGCTAGAATCTACCTGGCAACCCACGCACGGGCCAATTTCATCGCTCCAACTGCTCGGTGGACGTCCTCTCGGATGTGTCGCATCGTTAACGCAGCATTATTTGCCCTGTTTACATCTCGCAATGGAATCGGCTCACGTGTGAGGCGAAGGAGGTGCACGGTCGCGAGGTCATAACAGATGGCAATGGCATGGGAGAGGCGTTCATCCAGCAGTGGATATATTATAGATAAAGCTGATGATAAGTGGGGCTTTTTGTTGTTGATGTTAATACATTGGAAGAGGAGTCGGAGACTGGTTTACACACTGGTTTATTCTTCAACCCACAGCCACACTCGTTCCAAAACCAACCCCGACCATGCGTCTCACAGCCCATGTTTATACCCTCCATCTCCGCCCTCATTCCCAATACACATCCTCATCCCGCACGCCTGATCGGATGCGTCAGTGCCCTTTAACCCTTGACCCCCGTCTAGTGTATTCCCGTGCGTGTGATTGGTGCATGAGAGTGGCTCGCAGATCCCTTACACATTGACAGTTAATACAAACCCTTTACGTCTAAGCAATGAATTAAAATTACGTTTCGTATTTACTTTACACAATGAGCATCAACAACGTAAAACTTAATATTACTTTATATTTGGGGTGAAACAAGGTATTGATGTATTCATATAATGATATTGCATGCGTGAGATTCGACTTGTTTTTCGATGAGTATTTGTTGTATCTAATGGGTTCATGTCAAAGTGCCAGCCACTAGAGGCGCTACCATTCACCGCAATCTATCTTCTATCTATATATATAAAAAAGTCAAAATTTGTCTGTGGGTTTGTGGCGGGGTTTGTGGGTTTGTTTGTGTTTCGCATGCTTGCGAAGGATTTGGCTCTCCAACGGTGGGGTTTACGTAGAATAAAAATAGCCAGGTACCACGCCGTAAGCCCTGCCGTGAGCAAGCGCTATTCCTTTTTCACATCCCTCAACTTTCAATTAGTTTAATTAGCGATTTTTTTGCGCTTCCTTTTATTTATGTATTTATGATGCATGCGCGACCATACCAACTCGCGCAACCATACCAACTCACGCGCCTTTGGTGGGGGGGACGGACCATGCCAAGTCGCACGCCTTCGTTGGGAGTGAGGGGGACATTTTCTTTCGCGTTAAAAATGCTATCAAAATACACTAAACGCTCAGGTAAATTCTTCACTGTGTGATGTCCCCCCCACCCCGATGCGTGCAGTTACTACTATACAGTCGCTATATGCTACCACTATAGGCCGTAGATATTACTGCAGAGCGGCCGGGGAGATCGTGGCTGGGAGGGGGGGGTCAGGGGTCGCAGCCCAGTCCCAGCCTGCCAAGGTGCCACCTCGACCGGCTGGACAATCTAGGCGAGGCCAGAGGCTCTGCATGGAACTAGGCCTCACCACGCCACTCTGTCAGGTAAGTACTTTGTGCTGTTGAGTCGATAAATACTGCTATTGGGTCAGCATGTACTACTGTAACGATAGCAGGTACCACCACAGTCGGGATGCACTGCTGTAATCATAGCAGGTACCACCACATTCAGTACGCACTGATGTTAGATTTTAAGAGTAGTTTTAAATATTTTTTTGGCCCAGGCAGACGTCGGGTATATAAGCTAGTTTAAAAAAAAGCATCGATTCTGTTAATGCAATCTCAGCCCTGAATCGTGACAATTTATACAAGCAGGGTGGGGGAATCTTTCCACTCCTACTTATTTTGAACAAATCCACAACGAATATGAATCACAGTGGCTGGACAGCAGAGTCTTTGAGGCTGGTATATTAAAACAGCTGGGTGGCTCAGCTGTAATCACTCCTGACACTCAGCCGGACTGCATGGTTAGCAGAGCCTTTTTTACTAAAGTGTGCCGACAGCTGTAAAATTTATAGTAGCTGCACTTAATTTGTTTATTAGAAGGAGCAACTGTGTCGCACTGCCAATAACTCAATTACACGCATTTATGTTCGCCCATAACTAAATTGTGAGAAAGCAACATCACGATTGTTCCTGTGTAAATACAATAATGCTAGTCTTTCTTACAAAAGAAAATGTATCTCTAATGCTCTTACATGATTAAATAAATTGTATTTATTGGAAGACACATTATATTCGCATACATATGTACAATGAGGGAATAAAATATTTGATCCCCTGCTGATTTTGTATGTTTGCCCACTGACAAAGAAATGATCAGTCTATAATTTTAATGGTAGGTTTATTTGAACAGTGAGAGACAGAATAACAATAAAAAAATCCGGAAAAACGCATGTCAAAAATTGTATAAATTGATTAGCATTTTAGTGAGGGAAATAAGTATTTGACCCCCTCTCAATCAGAAATATTTCTGGCTCCCAGGTGTCTTTTATACAGGTAACGAGCTGAGATAAGGAGCACACTCTTAAAGGGAGTGCTCCTAATCTCAGCTTGTTACCTGTATAAAAGACACCTGTCCACAGAAGCAATGAATCAATCAGATTCCAAACTCTCCACCATGGCCAAGAACAAAGAGCTTTCCAAGGATGTCAGGGACAAGATTGTAGACCTACACACGGCTGGAATGGGCTACAAAACCATTGCCAAGCAGCTTGGTGAGAAGGTGACAACAGTTGGTGCTATTATTCGCAAATGGAAGAAACACAAAGAACTGTCAATGTCCCTCGGCCTGGGGCTCCATGCAAGATCTCACCTCGTGGAGTTGCAATGATCATGAGAACGGTGAGGAATCAGCCCAGAACTACACGGGAGGATCTTGTCAATGATCTCAAGGCAGCTGGGATCATAGTCACCAAGAAAACAATTGGTAACACACTACGCCGTGAAGGACTGAAATCCTGCAGCGCCCGCAAGGTCCCCCTGCTCAAGAAAGCACATATACATGCCCGTCTGAAGTTTGCCAATGAACATCTGATGATTCAGAGGACAAATGGGTGAAAGTGTTGTGGTCAGATGAGACCAAAATGGAGCTCTTTGGCATCAACTCAACTCGCCATGTTTGGAGGAAGAGGAATGCTGCCTATGACCCCAAGAACACCATCCCCACCATCAAACATGGAGGTGGAAACATTTTGCTTTGGGGGTGTTTATCTGCTAAGGGAACAGGACAACTTCACCGCATCAAAAGGACGATGGACGGGGCCATGTACCATCAAATCTTGGGTGAGAACCTCCTTCCCTCAGCCAGGGCATTGAAAATGGGTCGTGGATGGGTATTCCAGCATGACAATGACCAAAAACACACGGCTAAGGCAACAAAGGAGTGGCTAAAGAAGAAGCACATTAAGGTCCTGGAGTGGCCTAGCCAGTCTCCAGACCTTAATCCCATAGAAAATCTGTGGAGGGAGCTGAAGGTTCGAGTTGCCAAACGTCAGCCTCGAAACCTTAATGACTTGGAGAAGATCTGCAAAGAGAAGTGGGACAAAATCCCTCCTGAGATGTGTGCAAACCTGGTGGCCAACTACAAGAAACGTCTGACCTCTGTGATTGCCAACAAGGGTTTTGCCACCAAGTACTAAGTCATGTTTTGCAGAGGAGTCAAATACTTATTTCCCTCATTAAAATGCAAATCAATTTATAGCATTTTTGACATGCGTTTTTCTGGATTTTGTTGTTGTTATTCTGTCTCTCACTGTTCAGATAAACCTACCATTAAAATTATAGACTGATCATTTCTTTGTCAGTGGTCAAACATACAAAATCAGCAGGGGATCAAATACTTTTTTCCCTCACTATATATGCCCGTAAAAAAATACCTTCAAAATTAGCGCGTGTAAACATGTGACACATATACATGAAACAATCCATACCCACTCTTACACATTTTAGTCGGGCGGTGGTGACGCATGCCTGTAATCCAGCACTCTGGCGGAGAGGCTTGGTGGATCACACAAAGGTTGGGAAACTGCCTTCCTATGGGCATCGAGGTCCCATACCCTGGCTTACCAGCAGACAGCGGTACAGCAAATGTGGATCCCACCTGTTCCATCTGTATGGGATAGAGTCTTGCACCCTGGCATGCGTGGTATTTCTCCGGGTGCTCCGGTTTCCTCCCACACTCATCAATTGGGTGATAGCACCTTAATATATAAAAGATCGCAGAGCTCGGGAGGGAATTTTAAAGCAGTGCATTACAAGTTGAAATTATTAAGATTTTTAAGCAATTCCAAGTTATTTATCACAATGAGGATTATGAGAGAGTAGGAAAGGCTGCCAGAAACTTAAAAGTAATCCATAAACAATGTCTCACCTCACTCTGCCATTTAGAGCAAGATTGACTATTTTAGTAAGACTACATATTACATTAAATGTCCATAATGTACCTTTTGGAAGAATTCCTCTCCGCTTTCTCCTTTCCCTTCCACAGCAGCTGAAGAGACAGATTTTGGGGGCAGGGGTGGGGGTTTGTTGGGGGGGGAGAAGCAAAGACAAATGAGTGACCGCATTTTCACAAAAACGATAGCGCAGAGAGTGCGCGCTCACCTGCACGACACAACAACCACGCGACGCTCACTCCAAGACTTCGCATTTGGTTCTTCAATTCTGCGCGGCACTGCGCCAATGTTTAACGTTTTAACACTTCCGCCAAAAGAGCCATAATCCTTAAAAATAAACAGGCTTCTTCGTGAACGTTAATATCCCGGGCTCTCACTGTCGGCACTTGAAATCCATTAGATCAAGTTGTGAGCAGCAGTAGGAGGAAGAGGGAAAAAAAACCCTTTTAATGCGCACAGTGCACATGTATTTGACGCAGATATTTAAGCTGCTAAAAAGGCGCTGTTTTGGTTGACGAAAAAAAGCAAGGTCATGGGAGGCCCACTGCGACACACGCGGTGAGCTGATGCGCCCCTTTTCTTGAGCCGGACGGTGTGGTCTGAATGTTCATTGAGGGCCACTGGAAATGAGCTTATGAGACTTCTTATGCACTATACTTGTGCTTTTAACAGCAGGTAAAAAAAAAATATTGTTTAAAAATAATCCGGGGCAGTCTATTTTCCCAAAATGAAAAGAGGGCTTAAGGAGGTGCTGTGTAGACGAGGATGTTGAGTCACTTCGTACATTTTCACTCGCATCGCACAAATGACGACTCTGCCTCGCTGCGATGTGCAAGGTGTTATTGTCGTCATCGTGAACTATCCACTGCAGGATGAAGGCTTCTCCCAGCCGTTGCCACCTCTCAATATTCCGATGCAAACTTTCATATGGCTACTGCACGCCAGCTGATTAAATCGCTTCGTCTATCCACGGTGGACATCCTCTCAGGCATGTTGCTGCCTTTGGTTGTCACTCCATCATTAGCCTTGACCACTCACCATCATCCCTTCTAACAGCACGTCATGTTGAATGTTTTAACAGTCAACATGATGTATCCAACTCGAGTTTTGTTCTCGAAACGATGTATTCCTATCTTCCGGTGAAGTTCCAAGCATGCACCTCGCATGTTTCTGCATGCATTTATCAACGCTTTGTTCCATTTCCTTAAACAATGTTCACGGTTTTGATACGTTCATATAACACGGCAACATACCGATGCACTTATAGACAAACGTTTTTAATCATAGCGCAAGCTTTTATCGTTATTGTTTTTCAAAAAAACTCTGAACAAAGTTCTTTTTTTTTGTCTTTTCCAACGCTGGGAACAATGAAACGGGACTTCATGGTCCACGTACCCCGTCCCTGCATTCCATCCCGAGCAGATATCTTTCTGGTTAAGATCGACTTTGGCACAGGCGCGTGCGTTCCAGCGAGCCGCGGCGTTGATTTCCACGTGCGGAACGCGCTCTGCAGCGCACCTTTCATTAACCCCCAGCCGAAGGAATTCGATAATGTGTTTTACAAGCTGGAAGGCATCTGCTTTAATGACAAACATGGATTTTTTTTTTAAAGAACTTGACTCAATTACACATTGTTGAGACTTTCAAGTAACTTCATCCGGGCATGGGCTGGCGAGTGAGGTGCGTTACTCGGCACACAAGGGCTGGGAATATATTGCTTGATGCTTTTGGCTGTGAAATTTGAGAACACTGTTCACACACTATTAGGCCCTATTAGAGTGGTGTCAAGCCTCAAAATAAATGTGGCTCACCCACGGAGTTGGCCTTGTTATTTCTCCAACACCTCCTCATTTAACACACGCTGGGACAAACGATCCACTAAATCACTCATTAATTGACTCCTCAGCGGTTGAGGTGGGGAGGGGTGGGGAAACACAGGGTGTGGTACAACATTAACCCCTTAGCCCCTCTGTCACTGCACATCTGTGTCATCCAGCTTCCACACAAGCTCAGTCTTGAAACACTGCGCGGAATTAAACTGTGTTCTGAGATTTTAAAATTCTTTGAAATTGGACGGGGTTTAGAGCCCCCCCCAATGGGCCAGCACAACCTCAGGGCACAAACAGGCAACTTAAAAGTGTTACAGTAAAATTAACAGGAGTGTCCTCTTCCACAGTTAGTCAAAGTGAACCTGGACTCGAGGCTACAAGCCACGGCCAGACACAGCATTGCCTTTCACCGACCAAAAAAAGTTAGCAATGAATAATCCTATAACCTCCAGCTGTGTCTGAAAAATCATGATGGGTTAATAGTCAACGTGAGCATGATCACTGTTGCATTAATCGGTATGGATGTGTAATAAATGAAAGCAATAAATCAACCTCCATTTCACATAAAGATAAAACATGTGTTTTTTTCAGGCTGTTGGCCTTACAGATTCTGATGATGAGACAGAGAAGGTAAAAACGGGTCTGAAAGGCTTCAATGTTTACCAGCTGATGTTAACCAACTGATGTTCGTCGACATAATTCTAAAAAACCAATAGGCATATCAACCAAAAATATATATTTCATTTTAATGTGGAGATACGGTACAAATGCGGTTCATTTAAAATGCCTCCTCTCCACACCCCTTAAATATATCCGGGAAACCGCCAGAGTTCCTAACTTTGATTTAATAAAAAAAAAACACCATTCAACCCTCCTTCCTTTCCCGCACAAAAACTCCTGAGTAAATCATAATTTAACTGGCTACAGGAGGTTGAACATCTATTTCATGAATGGAAAATACAATATTTTTCCACAAATAGAAAATTAAAATTATCACGGCAGCACGCCACACCAAGCAATCAAACACATCGTGAACTCCTGCCCTGTATAAGAATTTCCAGGATATGCGAGCGGCCTACTGGATTTAAAATTCGGGTGTAAAATTATCATCGCTACTCAATGTCCATACAAACGAGCAGAAGAACCACACTCATTTCCACTGCTCACTACATTGCCAAGTCACCCCGGTATGTCTGAGCCAAGTATTTGGCCGACTCAGAGCTCTGTATGTTTCAGCACACACTGAAGTGCAACCCCGGTGCCTGAGATGATGGATGAGAAGATGAGATGAGAAGCGCACCAGGCGTTTCAGCCCCGTGAAGTTTAACAAGTTGAAAGGCCCAAGAGTGGCCCACTCAGCAGGGTGCTTGCCAAGTTAATATGCAACCTTGACATGCTCCACTGAGTGGTGAGCCGGTGTTAATATTCAACCTTGATATTGATTGGCGAATTCTTAGCCTCTTGATCCGTATGCCTTCTCAGGCCAGTGCTATGTTGCCCGCTGGCAGGAACCCGCGTGGGCTCACGGCTGGTTCCTGATGCATAATAAACACAGCCGCATTGCCCCAGCACGCACGATGCTTCCCATGCACGTGTGTGCATTAGCGGTGGTGCAGCTATCGAGTTTGCAGGCCGTGCAACTGCACCGGGGCCGACTGGCCGGGGTTATATATAAAATGGAATTGGACAGACGGCTCCATTTCATTCCTTACACCACTGCCCATAGCAGCAATGCTACAACAATGTGCATGACCACGTCATCGACAATTCGATGACGTGTCAATCCACGATTGACACGTTTGACCATGCTTCACCACGGTGGTCATTGTGAGTTGGTGACAAGTTGAGCCTAGGAACGTTTTAGATATGACTCCCCACTGATGTATAGCCATAGCTGGGAATCAAACTCAGCCTGGGTGGGTTCCAAGCGCAATGGACTAACCATCACACCACTACTCCACCCTGGACAAAGTTACCACGCATTAAAATAGTTGTGTTTTAATCCACGAACTATAACTCGAGGAGCGAGCTGTACTTAATTTACCTGGATATGAACTCTTGTTTTTTTTGTATTATCACAAGTGCAAGAGCCCTGGATCTTACACTGCTCACGCGCTCAAACCACACACACCGCATGCCCCATGGCCACAACTTGCAGACACCACACGACACTGCGGGTTTGGCGATCGGGCGGTCTCTGAGGAGATCGAAGTGTCCCAGCCGTTGTGTAATTTAACTCTTTATAACCCAGCACCCATATCCAATACATTTTTGAAATACCGAGCAAGTTTATAAATGATTTAAGCAATAATGATTACACCGATATTTCTAAAATGACATCACACTTGCTGACATTTTTTTAAACAAAAGGGTAACTTTAAGGCCCCATGTAACAAGTCCTGTCCTCCACCAGGTCTTAAAAAAGTAAAGTTTTCTCGGAAATTAAATGCATAATCAAAGAACGTGGGAGTATTAGTGCATTAATGTGATCTCACTCTAGTGAAGTGTTAATTAAGCGTTTACTTAATGCCTGGGGTTGTATGTTGATAAATAATATAAGGGGTGGGAAACCGCATTTAAATCTATCCAATAATCTGTTAAATCCACATCCACTTTGAGAACTAAGCTTCTTGCTAATGAGCCCTCTCAGGAGGCAAGCAGATGGAGAAAAAAATACTCACACGCAAGCTGCCATGCACAGAGACACACATGCACATACATATAAAGACAAAGGTCCCCCATACAACCTTTAACAGACTTCTGGGGCAAGTGCTGTTAGCGAGCACCTAATAATGCGGGTCAAGTCGGGGTTGGCGTATCACGCCTGGCCGTGTGGGTCTCCCCACTGTTGATGTGTACACACCACATGAGGTACTCATTTAAGGCTGAGTCTACCTGGGGGAGGCCCAGCAGGACCAATTCAGATATTCTTCACCAATGTTGGCTGTGAGTGAAAATCCAACTCAGGTTGCCGAGTTTGCAGCATAGTACACTAAGCACTACACGACCGAACACATACACACATGTATGCACAGGCAAACGTATACAACAAACACAAATACATATGCACAGTGGACGAAATTTGTTATTTAGAAGTCCGTGTATGAAACATATTCGTCCTATTCATTATATAGGAATAGGAACCCATTTGCAAGGTGCCAGTATACATGGTTGGTGTTCTAAAACGCCCTGGTATGGGATACTGCCATCTACTCCTGCATACACAACAACAGCTGCTATGCACCAGTAAGTGACGGTGATGTCAC